TGTTATAGCACACTCATTCACAGGGGCTTTTATTATCAATCGAAATGTACACACATAATATTTTTACGCCATCCACACCAAAATTAAACTAAAATAACTTAAAATGTTTAATTTTTTTTATTTCTTCTATAAACATTTAACTAAAAAACAACCGGTTTGAATTTTGGATTAAGCTTATTAAAATTTTAAGGAAAAACAATTTAAAATAAATATACAACAAAAAGGGAAATTTTAATTTGGTAAAAGAAGTTTTTTTCGCCACGAAACATTCTCCAAGCAGTACAAATAAAAATTCAGTAATTTAAAAATATCGTCTATAGTATACATATTTAAGCATTCCAAAAATAAAAATTTATATAAACACATTATAAAATTAAAGAAACATTCCCCAAATATATCACCTTATATATAAATTACATTTGGAATATTTAACAATTTTATTTTTAACTGAATCCCAATATTACATTCCAATATTATTCTACACATACACGTCTACGAGTATATACTAAAATAGGTTTATATTCTGTATTCGATGATGCTAAATAATAACTGCCCTGTACAGCAGCTGTGAATCATTAAATTATATAAGAGCAGGGACAGTGTGTGTATGTACCTAACCATTATTACAATATGAATATATGAAAATACTTATTTGACGATAATAATGTGTGTCAGTATATATGTTTTATTCCTTTATAGATACTAGAATATTTTGAATATTATTGCACTTCTGAAAAACAAAAAAATACTTATTAAAACGATTTCGACCACTGAAAATAATACTACTCAAATGAGTTTTTTTTTTTTTTTTTATTATTTAACAAAACGTATGACAGTCTCTATCCTATGTTTTTAAAGGGGATTGCAGTGACTCAAGGAGGTATTAAAATCTGCATACTCGACCAACAGACAGTGTTTTTGTATATTCATCTGCTTTTCAACTTTTCAAAAGAATTAATCTTTTTTTTTTTATATTCTTCTTCTACATTGAAGCATAAGACGAATACAAAGCGGCGAAATAATTACATATTTCTACCGTAAAATTATAAAATAGTAAATAATTACGAATCTATATTGATTAATATCATTATTGTTCTTTTGATAATATTGTAAAACTATGAGACAATTAAAAAAAAAAATCATAAAAAACAATTAACTATATCAGTTAATATTAACATTAATCAATATTTCAATGAAATATAAAACACAATTAACAACATTGACATGTGCATTCATTTGTTCTCATCGTATACGATGTAACATCTATTTCACGCGTAATATATTTTAACAGACTATTTTAGGGTAAAAACGTCGAAAAACGTTTGTCTCGTCGAAATACTTTCAATTCTAGTTCACTATACAAATTCGTTAAACCGTTTTATTTCTTTCTTTCTTTCTAAAAAAAAAAAAAAAAAATAATAATAAAAACTTTATTAAAAACGATTCTTATGGTGAGGCAATTCCGGAGTTGTTCACATAGTATTATAGGTACCCATGACAAAAGTGTTCAATGCGATTTACTTTACTATCGCATTCAAATGGTTGAGGATTTTACGAAAATAAAAACAAAAGAAGAGCGTCAAAGCTTATTATTTATTTAACATACAACAACTATGCACACGGAAACGCGTCCAACGGCATAATACATTTAAAATGCGCAAGGGTTTCAAGGACCTAAGGAGAAAGTCTTGTACCCAAACGGAAACTGTGCCGAAATGGGCAAAAAAACAATATTGCAAGTGTGTAACATAAAACTCTTTGTGAGGGGAGGTTATTATACTAAGAGGGACGACAGCAACAATGACGCTCAGAATTGGTAAACGCAAAGGGAGAGCACACACTGTTCTAACGGGTTTTTAAAAGGTTACATTCGACCCTTACACCGAACACTTCATCGTTTTTAAATATTGCATACGACGTGTAAGGAAAAAAACTTAAAAATAAAAATTTTATTTTTATTACACGTCTATGGCCGTAAAAGTGGATATATTCCTATTGTTTAAGCGCCTGGACATCAATTATTTATAGTTAATTCATATAATATAGTGTTACTCAACACCTTTCGACCAAAGGGAAATGGTTTTTATTGTTATTATTATTTTTGTTGTTTTTATTGTAAATTCAATGTCCAAAATCTATTATTGTTTGACCATCAATTGAATTACATTATTAATTAGAAAGCTCATTGTAAATTGATAAGCATGAATAAAATAAAACATTTATTTTAAAACGCATATCAGTTTTGTTTAAATGTTTTATATCCATGATATATCTTACACTCGAACTACTAAACAATAGTCAATAAACGTGTGATTGTACGCTGATAATATTGTACATTTTACAAAATTCAGAGCTTATTAGATGTGCAAAAACGAATAACTATAACTTTCTTTAAATTTGTGACAAATGATATATTTATTCTAAACTTTTTAAAAAACAAAAAATCTTTTTTTTTTAACCACTTATTGCAATTATAAACATAATTTTATAATTGTATTTTATTATATTTTATAACCTACATGAGCAATGCAATGGTTACCAGAAAAACTGCTGATTTAAGAATTATTTGATCTCATAGAAAAAAAAGTGTTCAACTGACCATCTTATTCTATCGAATATTATTTTTTAAATTGTTCGATCCAGGGTCTATAACAGTTTTGTAATTTAATTTATTATTTTATTTTTAATATATACTACTTTAGCTTTATAATTAAAAATGAAAATGATCATTAAGTTTTAAATTAATTTTCCATTAAATTTAAAAACAAGACCACACGGTTTCGTTTTTTAGAATGCGATAATAATCGGTTTCAAACGTAATAAAAAAAATGGGATAATATTGTAGCATCCACCTTTGTAATACACTCGTTCTGAGTGACCAACCCAAGGTGCAAAATGTTTGCCTTTTTTAAATTAAAATTACTGAAGTATACAGTTATACACGATCATTATGATTAAAATTGTGAAAAGTTACATAGAATAACATAAATAATTTATTTTATAACATTAATTATACTGAAAAAATAAAATAAAAAAATAAAAACATGATAACCATCTTAGACTCGTTAACCACTATAATACCGTGTTCAGTGTATTACTGTGATTATGGTAAAAAATGAATACCTACAAACTGTATACATTACCATTGTCGTACGTACCACAACGGTTGGAATACGTTTGACTTTTTGAAATATCACACCCCATTTATGATAACGAAAACCAGATGGATTTAATTTAATTTTTTAAATATCGTCGAATCGTCGTTATTTGCAACACTGTAAGTTAAATAAATTATTTCTACGCACTAATAATTTCGTCGACGCGTTATTGTCAGCTACTTATGAAAATATAATATACGAGTAGATATAATGTAGTAAAATATTTATGATCGCATTGCGTTTTGAGGGTTTTGTTCCTTCACACATATTTTATTTAATTTCCAATACCTATATTATCAAAATGTGAATACTGTATTTTATTTTAAGATTTCGCTAAAAAAATGTTGTACGTAAATATATTATATATATATATTTTTTCAAAAATTAAATTACATTTACCATTTAAGTTGTACTTTATTATAATTTATAAAATATTCAATAACTATATAATATATTTATATTTATTTTACATTATTAATATTACATGCGAACATGTCTAAACTTTGCATATTTTTCACCTAATTGTCTAAAATAAGTATATATATTAATTTTATTTATGTATATATATATATAGATATATTATGTTAATTTTCAAAGCCAATCATTCATAATTCATATATCAATAGATACCCACATTATAGTTATATAAACTGCGAAGATTATTTATGATAATTATTGAACGAGAAACATCGAAATAAGATAAAAGCGAATTTATTTCGGAAAGTTCTCGCATCTCGTATTCCTAGTTTTTGGTTTTAACAGAGCTTAAGAGTTAAAAAGAAAAAGAGATTCTCATTTTACTTTTTTTCATTTCAGAAAGCTTACACATACTATATAACTACTCTTGCCTGGTTAATATAAAAAGACTTTTCTCTTTGAATACTTCAATATGCAGTGGTGTGCGCATACAAGACTAGCAACTTATATTGGCTGTGGCACGGATAAACGATCGATTTAAATATAATTTTTTTTTCTTTCGTTTGAATGATCTTGGTGCTTGCCAAAGTAAGGGAACTATTATGAGATAAAATGTCGAAGGATATGTCATGGGAATCGGTTGCACATTTGATCACTGCATGTACCGTTCCCACGGGAGACCAAAATATATTATTTGGCCTTATATTTATACACTACATTTAATCTCATGTAAAATTTAAAACTGTGGAAAAGTAATTTTTGTCGTTTCGTTTGAAAATTCAACATGACGTAAATTATTCATACATTTCTTGTTTGTATAATTTTCTTCAGTGAAAATAAATTAATGTACTATTGATTGAAGGACATAAATTAATTTAAAATCGAAAACCTAATGTAAAATTAGAACTATTAAACAACATTGGTATTATAATATGATATTTAGATTATTGCTCTTGTTTCAATATAACTTTTAAGTGATTAATCAATGGCTAAGATTTAACAAATAGTTATATAGATGTTTAATGACAAAATAATGCAAGAAAAATGTATGTACATACTATACAAATATTATTTCGAATCACAACATTTTATATGAATGTTATCATGTTTTTCAATAGACATTAATATAATAATTATTAATACTATTGATATATTCCTTGAATTATTGAAATTTAATAAGTTGATTATTAGTGTCTATGCAAACTACGGAAGTCAATTAGGTGCTTTTAGTACTATAATTTTATTTTTCAAATGTATATTTGTTTTTAAACATTTATTTTTACATTTTCTCTACTAAACACTTTATAACTAATTCCATCCTTGAAATCGGATTAATGAAAGAAAACATTTTGTCAGACGTATAGCCTATTACCGCTCATGAATCGATTTAATTGTTAATTGTTATAATTTTATTTTATTTTTCAGAATTGGACAATGCCGATTTGTATGTACCAGTTGATCCTAACAAGATTCCTAAGTTTTTGAACAAGCCGAGCACATACCAAGTCGTTACCAAAGATACAATTGTTTTACCATGTGAAGTTTATAATCCAGGTAAACTTTAGTATTTATTTAGACTTAAATATTCAATTGTATTCTATAACCTAATAGTGTTTTGTACCATCTACTTGCATGGTTATACCGAAGATAAATCGTTCGTTTAAAAGTACAAAAATAAATTACTAATATATATTAATAACGTAAGTAATTTGATATATTCATTATGCGATAAATGCTATTGTTTGAATAATTTATGATTGTTGACGAATATTATGATAATTTTGATCGTCATGACTCATACTTGGACACGAATAAAAGTCTTAAGACTAAATGGAGCAAAAAAACCATTCGTTTTGAAATAATTATATGTGATATTTCTCAGAAGAAAGTTTTTAGACCATTAAAAGCGTTTTAAAAGTTTTGTACAGTTTTCTATCGATAGGAAAATAAACACTAATAAAAAAAAAGTAAATAGAACTTAAAATTTTTCATAATTGCAAAATTAATAGTTTTGAAAATGTTTGCAAAAAAATCATGTATGTACTTATACTATACTTTTGGTAAAATTGTTAAACTTCTTATACAGACAAAATATAAACTATTCTCATATTTTAATTTAATGGTAGGCACTAATAGAATACTCATTATGACACTTATGATATTGAAAAATGTGTATGAGTATAAAATAAAATTCATGAATAACATAAATATTTAATGTACAATTTATTATTCCCTACTTTCCTATATTTTTATCGTATTATCATAATGAAAAACAAATCACTACAATAATATTTTCGTTAGATATAAAATGTGTGTATCTTTTATTTGTTTTTGAATAAATATAAAATAAGCTCCTTGTATTTTTTTACAATAAGAAAAATCTTTAAAAATGTATGTATAAAATTGTTTTTAAAATTTGTAATTTTCTAATATAGTCTTTATTTGAATACACAACTAACGCCCATAACATTGACTTTTGACGTGCATATATTCATTATCCATTTGTATAACTTAAACTTATGTACAAAGTACGTATTAAATTTCCTTTTACCAATTCAAAAGTCAATAACCATCAATCTAAATTCATATTGTAAGAATACGTTACTAATACGTAATTATGTGCTTAAAGCTAATATATCCCTTAAAATCCTGTGAACATATTTAATTATTTATGTTTAATATTTATTATTACCGTCGTAAACATTCACTACAATTTCACTAACAATTCAAACCGCTATAGTGCATTTAATATTGATATGGAAATTTAATTTGGCGGTCATTTCGAATGAAATGCGTGCAGCAATTTAATGCGATTGCACTAATACGGCGGGTGGATGGTTCTCAAAACAATTTAATTGAAAATTTATATGAGTTCGGCGACGTATATTTCACTATAGAATCTCCTAAAATCGTTTACATACTAACTTAGTTTCGCCCATTCATGCTTATATATAGCTATATCGCCAATATTGACCAAATGATATTATTTCGACTATAAATTCGATCCATAATAGAAGAAGTTTGAGGACTTATCGACTAAAGTTTGATACGCATAATATTTATAGATTTATTTGACAGTGGATTTTGACATTAGGATCGGAACGCGAGTTCCTAAAAATAAATATTTAGTTTTAAAACAGAAAAAATTGTATGATATATTATTATTGTCTTCCTGTTCTAGTTTTGTCTAAAATATTTTTACTTACACCGTTATTCAGAACCATGTATTTTATTCACGCTATCCACTGTACGTTTTTGAAATAAAATAATTTCGACAATATTGTTATTTTGTCAATAAATCGCACCGTCCGTTCGATCATATTAAGTCAAAGTTGTAACACAAAGCAAAGTTTTTCAACTCAACTACACATTTTTTAAGATCGTTAAAATTGAAAATAATGTTAACTCAAATGCAAATATAATATATATATATATAATTTAAACTTTTTTTTTATGAAATTTGTTTTCAATCAACTCGTGTTATATTAAATTTTAAATGCTAGTATAATGCATCTATTAAGTGTATTATTATTATTATTATTTAAAAGAAAAAATAACTATTACAATTCGTTACAACTTTTAGCGATAAAATTACAAAAGAGTCGTTAAAAATCTTAGTGACATGATAGGGAGTCGCAACCTTCAAAAGGCTGAACATTTCTGGCATAGAAAGTAAAAAGAAGGTATACTATAGGTTTACAATATAAACATTTTACCTAAATGTTTTTCATTATTATCGCGTCTCAGTTTTACTCTACAGCATAATATTATTATAAATATTTACTAAATGTATTGCGCAGTAAGTTCGTTCTAGATGCGATAGTTTTTTTTTTCTGCATACAATTATCTCTGGTTTAAAAGTTCATACATTTGATAATATTTACATTACATATTTGATGTTATTATTTATTTATCTCTTTTATAGCGCTGAAAATCTTGCTTGGTTCGGTTCTTTTGTTCTTATTGTATTTGATTCGATGCTATGGCAGACAGGACTATTGACGATATTTGCTTTTAGTAACTAAATATTTACCGAAAATTCGATAGAGCAATAAGTAGAGTTTATTGTTATTAAACGATAGTATAAAAGGTAATGCAATCAAAATATAATACGGCTAAGAAACAAAACGTATGTATTATAACTTATAGGTATATAGATGAGATGATAACAATAAATATAATTCAGTTGTATGATATATTTTATATATTTATAATTTCTTCAGCATAATTTTCAATTAGCAGTGCATATTTTATACGAAGAATGATTCACTAAGCATGCTCAATCCTATAATTTCTTTCAATGATGAATTTATTTAATGTTTGAGTTTTCAAGTTTTTAAATATACTTAAGTACTTATAAAGACCATATTTTAAAATTTTTGACTTTTTTTAAACTACTTAATAGGTGTCTTTATAAAATATAAACTAATGTTTTATTAAAACGACAACCTTCTTTTTTTGTTTAAATTATTTTATGAAAAGTTGTTTTAAAAACGTCGATGTATCTACCAAACTATTATTAAATGCACTTCAAAATACAAACGTGTAGCATTTTAGTTATTAAAATATTTATTCATTGAAAGTAGCCTTAAAAATGATTATAAAAATATAATATTACAATATTAGATCTACTATTTATTATACTTAGATCATTTTCACAAAAATAAAAAATAAAACATTTTGATAGATTATTATTAATTACTAAAATGTTCAAATCACTATAGCCATTAAATTTTCTAATCTAATTATCATAATCCTCTTATCCTCAGTGTACTTATTATATTAAAAACTTCGCATTCGATTTTTGATACATCGACATTTTCAAAAAAACTGTCGATCAAATAATTTACAATCTTGGTAATTTAAAGTATATGTTTAAATTATAAAAATAGGATTTTAAATAATTACGATATTAAAAAAAAAAAAAAAAAACATGAGGAAGTGAGAATTCTTGGTAAATCATCCTATATACATAATGGAAAATCTATTGGGTAACACAGTAGCAGACGCTTTGCTATTCATTATTTTAAGTAGGTATTCTTGAACATACCTTTAAGCTGTTATTTTTAATTAACATAATAATATTACCTATATATTATGACAGTTAAAGTCCGGTGATGAAACGAATGTGGTCTTTAAGAAGTGCTTGCTTTTGGCTTCTCAATATGATAACCAAAAACAATAACTAAATGTTGGTAATAATTATTGTAATTCGTATTAACTTAAAACGTTTCAATTAAAAATAAATCTTATTTAATTTTTTAGTTTGGGGCTGGGTAGAATTTAGATTGTTTCCGGGTCATTTTAGGTTCGTTTTGTCACTGACAGTTGCGATATCGTCTACAATTGCTCGTCAAGTCATACGAAAATAAACTATTAGGCACGGTTTTGTTAAGCGTTCGTCTGGTCCATTATCGCCAATAAACAGAGTAGGTATGCTTTTTGCGTTCGAACGCTGCTTGAGCTATTTGGCGAACATTGAAAATTCTCAGCAGGTCGCACTCACTCCACAAAATAACGATTGTTTATCCGCAGTGGTAACGGATAGTGGATACTACACCGCAACCGCGTCAGCCGTATTATTAACATTCGTTCGTACCTACCTACCTATTTTATGATAATAATATTGTTATTATTAGTAGCATTATAATATAATTTATTTAAATCGCTACGGAGAACAGTATATAATTCGGTTTCACTTGCACCCGTGTCAATTACGGTCTGTGAGCTGTTACAGGAATAATAACGGCGGTGGCTGGTCGCGTACGCCCATCATTAAATTATTATCATTATTATTGTCCTCTATTCCAACAATATGATTCGTTGTTTGATAACCGAAAATCATTCCTAATTATTAATCTACGCGGGAAATCGCGTTGCTATCATGCATCGCATGGACAATCCCTTTACATCACATTGCGAATGCGATCGTCTTGTAAATATTTGATTATATTATTATTATTATTATTATTATTATTACTAAACTATAATAGAATTTGGGCGTTGTGTCTTTAACTTGTTTTTCTATCATAAATTTGAAGCTTTATGCTGTTACTATGAAATATTCTTTAATGTGCTAACTTCAATGTACGATAAATACGTAAATTTTTATTTTTACTTTAATGTTTTTTTTTTTTTCTTACAAAATGTTTTCTACATGTACTTACTTACATGCTTGTGGAATATTTGAAAGGTGATAAAGCATACAATATTGTACAGCGCAAGGAAAAAAAGTATTTTCCTTTCCCGTTAGTGCATATACTTGTTACGCTTTGCCTACAAGTTCACAACAGCCTTTTTTGTAGTATATATTGGTAACTTTCCCTCTATAACAGTTATATATTACTACACTTTATCCCCCCAACGGAATAAAATAAATTTCGAGTGTGCCACTGTAGGCCATCGTTGTATTCTGTTGTGATACGTCCCAGTCAAGACGGCACCGTGCGGTCATAACAGTATAAAATATTATATTATATTATAATATCATGAGTCATACACACATTGGGGTCTGTATTGTGAGAAAAAGCTCATCGGTCGGCAAGAACGGTTAA